TGCTACACAAACTCACTGGTGCGAGCCTGGAAGATACATCAACAGCCACATCCGATCACATGAACCAAGACTTTCTCATCCCAACTCTTCTCGCTTTTCTAAGTCAACAATCATAACATGAACTAGATCTCTGGTCCACACCCACACACACACACACACACACACACACACACACACACACACACACACGTGTCACTAAGTCTTGTTTATGACGCACAAAGCCACTAAGTCATGAACTACTAAGGGTTCTCAAACACAATAAGAAATAATAAATGAAACAACCAATCATGTACAACGGTATCATAACATACCACGTAATTAAAATAAGAATCATGGAATCGACGATTGTTTTGCACATAAAATATCGCGGTCAATAACCATCCATCACACGTTCATAAACTAAATTCATTCAAAAATAAATAATTCTTTTGCAAAATAAATTCCTTTCAAATTATCTCTCACCATAATTATTCTAAAAATAATCTCTTAAAATAATAAATTCATAAATTCAAAATAATTTTTTATAAGATAAATTCTTATTAATTCAAAATAGTCTATTTTTCCAAAATAAATTCTTTTAAAAATATTTATCATTCTAAAATAATTTCCTTCCACAAAATAAATTCAAAAAAATTATAATTATTATAAAATAACCCCGTTGTTAAAATATATTCTTTAATCTATTATAATTATTCTAAAAATACCATCTATCACAAAATTACAATTTATTTAATCACAAATTAAAATAAGCATATAATTTATAATTTCATCAATAAGCCCACGCAGATAATTATTAACAGATCTAAAATTATAGATAATACATAATAAATACAACATGTTGGAGGATGGATGTGGAATCGAGCATTCACGATCATATCCAATGAAGATTGGCGGAATTGTGATATGAAGCATTGCAATTCAAGTTGAAGATCCAATGTCAAGCTTCATCCATGTTACCAAGATCGAGCGTCATGAAGATCATTGCTTGGTATATTTAGTATAGGTTTATATTATGTGTGTTTGATACTCTAAGCTCAATTATACACACATACACATTTTTGGTTTATATATATATACATATATATATACAAGTTTTATATACAAGTTTTGGTTTTATAGTTTTCAAGTTTATATATATGAAACAAATAAATATAATTGTAAAATACTAACTTGTTTTATGTTTATATGCTTATATATGATGTCATCAATATCAAGTTTATATAGTTCAATGAAATCATGTTTATTGTTTTGAAAGTTTGCAAAACATGCATTATCAAGTTTATATAGTTCAATGAAATCATGTTTATTGTTTTGAAAGTTTGCAAAACATGCATTTTTGTAAAAATATTGAGTTATTTGTTTATACATGCATTTTTGTAAAAATATTGAGTTATTTGTTTATGGACTTAACAATCATTATATACATCTTTTATTAAGTCTATAAAATTAATTTGTAAAGTTTCAAAACATAGTTTAGATAAAAATATCAAAAACAAGTGTTGTTTATTTTCATGTTTTGGACATATTTGCAAAATGATGATATTTTACAAGTGGGAGATACTTAACAATCAATATTGAGTTATTTTCATGGTTTATGTTCATTTTCATGTTTACAATCATTTCCCAAAGTTTTATATTTTTCTGAATTTATTTGCTATTTTTTAAAGTGGTTTGAAATTCAGTTTTACTATTCATAATAGGCTAATAACACATTATCAGTCGACTGATACATGTGTTCAGTCGATAAATATGGAATAACAAAAAGTTTCTATTTTGTTTTAGTCAACTGACCAGTCGACTGATGAGGTCATCAGTCGACTAACCATGCTCATCAGTCGACTGATGAGGTGTTGCTGGCCTGTAACGGTCAGCTCATCCGTCGACTGATCAGTCGACCGACGGCATAATGGTTAGTTTTTTCAGATTTTCATATTGCCATTATTTTGTCTTTTTGCTGGAATTTCTTGGGTTTTTGGGATTTGTTTCTTGATCATATATATACCCCTTGACCTCTAACATTCTGAGGTAATCAAGAAAGTTTTTAAACAAGTTTTAAAAGGGTGCTTAAGTTTTTGTTTAAGTTTGTTTTAAGAGTTTGTTTGTGAAGAAACTTTCATAAAAGCTTAGGGAGATCATCTATTGGTGTTTGAGCATTCAACTCTTCTCCTTCTCTCTCTTGTTATCAATAGAGAAGTTTTTCCAAACTCTTATCTAGCTATTTATTTGTTCGGTTTTCATTTCCTTAAAGCTAGATTTATTTGAGTTTACTTTGTTTTATTAAATCTCATTGTTACACACACCCACTTGAGCTTTTAGTATTTTCATATATAGTATAATTAAGGTTGTGAGAGATTGTAACTTTGAGTTGTGCTTAATTGAGTTCTCACCTTTTTTAGAGAACACTTATTTATTGTTGAGCATTAATTGTGAGGATTCACTTTGTATTGCACAAATACACCAAAAGAAGTGTAGAGGTGAGAGACCTGGTCAGTCCCAAGAGGAGTGGGGTAGGTGGTAATTCTTAGAGATAGGTTGTAATTCCTAACACTTGAGGGAGATACGTGAGAGGCTAACACTTGAGGTGGTAGTTTGTGTAGTTACATTGTGAGACTGTGAACGTTGATCGGTGAGCGTTGAAAACCAATATTGTGTGGTGTAAACATTATTCGGGTGTGCGTAGAAAACTTAGTTGTGATAGTGGAGATCTCCTCGAGGTGAGGAGCAGAGACGTAGATCGTGGGGACCGAACTCCGTGAACTTATTGTTTGTTTGTGATTGTATTGGCATACTTATTTTTATGTTCATATCTTATACCGCCTTTGTATATTGCTTGTTGTTTATATTACTCACTATCTAGTTTAGATTGTTTACCCTTGTATTACTTGTATATCCTTGCACATATATTTGTAATATATCATTCTTGCTAGGATATATTTGTTAATAAGTTTTAATTTGACATAAATCAGATTATATTAGCATAAACCCTATTCACCCCCCTATAGGGTTATTTCCTAGTGGCATTAGGGTGCTTTCAGGTTGAGCCCTCAAGACTCCACACTCAGCCCACTATATCAGCTAACAACTTGTGTAACCGACTAAAAAGGCGGTGCTTGTCGATCTTTAGCTAAACGACTAGAGAGGTAGTATATCCTCAAATCACCCACTGACAACTAGTCACTATCACATTAAATGATCTGACAAAGTCATCATGGCTCATCAGCCCCCAAAAGTCTTTGCACTAACCATCTGGATAAACATCTTCGCCAGCGGTCGACACCTGTCATCACATAGGTGTCTCATGCTATCCACAGCTGACACTTATCAGCTGTCTGCCAATTCAGGTGTCTACCTGGACTCGATATCCTTGCACATATATTTGTAATATATCATTCTTGCTAGGATATATTTGTTAATAAGTTTTAATTTGACATAAATCAGATTATATTAGCATAAACCCTATTCACCCCCCTATAGGGTTATTTCCTAGTGGCATTAGGGTGCTTTCAGGTTGAGCCCTCAAGACTCCACACTCAGCCCACTATATCAGCTAACAACTTGTGTAACCGACTAAAAAGGCGGTGCTTGTCGATCTTTAGCTAAACGACTAGAGAGGTAGTATATCCTCAAATCACCCACTGACAACTAGTCACTATCACATTAAATGATCTGACAAAGTCATCATGGCTCATCAGCCCCCAAAAGTCTTTGCACTAACCATCTGGATAAACATCTTCGCCAGCGGTCGACACCTGTCATCACATAGGTGTCTCATGCTATCCACAGCTGACACTTATCAGCTGTCTGCCAATTCAGGTGTCTACCTGGACTCGGCCACAGTTACATATTTACCCCTCTTAGCTAGATATAAATATGCGCTCATCATCTACCGATCAAGGACAGATGCTCAAGGCCCTAAGGGGGCCACATGTATGCAACTTCTGCATAATTAGAACTATCTTTAGTTCATTGATATCTTCTCCACTCAAGCTCAAATACTGACTTGACCGTCAGAGGAACGACTGGAGAACCCAACTCTGGTCCCCTCACGAGTGTTACTATGCACCTGTCTTATGTAGATAGGGACCGGTCTTCAAGAGAGATGAGGGAATCCACATCACAAGCTCCCTCGCTTAACTCCGGATTACCCAAACTAATCTCATCCATGTTTGATTGCTGACATCAACACTGGTAATATCCAGATCAGGAACGAATCATAGTAAATATAAGTCTCTCTCTTGTGCACGAGTGAGCCTAGACACAAGTGAGCCTAGAATCATGATCAAACATAACATGCTCCAAAATTCATAATCGTAGGAATCATCCTTTATGTATAGCAAGATTATGGCAAACATCCTAGATCTTGTAAGTTGATAATAAAAACTAAAATAACACATTCCTAGCATCATAAACTACGCGGCTAAATATAGTAAACATGCATAAAATGTTTAGAACTAAAAATCATAGGTTTATTGTAGACTAGTTTTCAGGTATTTCCGAAAAACCTCCAAAATTACCCAGTTTACAAGTTTATCAATCGACGGGATATTATCCGGCACCATCAACGGGACATGACACAAAATGTCATGTAATCAAAGGTAGACAATCATTGGTCTATCGGCTATCTGCCCTTGAAGACTAGGTCAAACCCATTTGAATATTTATTCACAAAAACAGACTCACTTTAGATTTATTTACAAAAATAGATCCAGTTTTAGCCACACCAGCTTTGTTGGGTGAAACTGAGTAGATTTAAAAAGTATAAATAATAATAATAAACTTTACTAGCTAAGAACCACAACTGTTTAGAATTTAGTTTAAAAATAGCCATGGTTACCAACCAAGGCTATTTTTAATTAAGCGGGTTTGTCAACCCCAACTAATTAGTAAACTGTATATTTTTTAAATCGACTTAGTTTCAAGCAACGGTGCTGGCGTGGCTGAAACTGGATCTATCTTGAAAACCCAAAATGGGCGCTAAGTTGGGGAAGTAGTGAATTGAGGGGTGTTTTCTACAAATTCATCCCCCGGACGGTCCTCCAACTCCAGTCCGCACTCGTCACTATACAGAAATCCCGAAACCTAGCGGCCGCAAACTCCGCCATGGAACTTGGCTCTGCAAGAACGACTCTTCTCCGCTCTCTCCAAGCAAGCAAACGTACACACGTGTCCTCGATCTTTTTCCCTCTCCAAAGATGTCATCTTTCTAAATTCTCAGTCTCATTTTCCTTCTCTCAGTTCTCTGCAGATGGACGGCGCCGGCCTTATTCTCTACGGACATCGTCGGCGACAAGCCCATTCTCGTGAGCTTCCGCTATTTCTTATATTAAAATAAAAAAAATTCAATCTTTCCCTTTTTTTTTATGTTCTTTTTAATTAATTTCTTCTCAGGTTCGAGATTATATTCGATGGGCGTTGTATGATCCCAATCACGGGTACTTCTCGAAGCTGTCGGGGCCTGTGGGATTGCTTGAGAAGAGCATCCGGTTTAATCAGCTCCAAGGTATATCCAAACTCAAAAATTTCACAGTGAAATTTTTATGCTTTTATTGTAATCTAAGCACGACTCATTTTTATTTTTATTTTTATTTTTAGCTCCTGTATTGTTCTTAACTAGCATTTGCTAACTTAGGTAGGACTGCATACTTGAAGTACTTGGATAATCTCTACAAGCAGCATGATATTGCCTGGTTTACTCCTGTGGAGCTTTTCAAGGTGAAATCCCTCTTCAGTTGTTAAGATTTTAGCTGTTTACGATCTTCTAGCCTTTGTTCTTAGAACCAAGTTTTGAACTGCCGGTTATAACTGAGGTGTTTGATGCTTGTTTCGGATAATTTTTGTGGTTTATCTGTTGGGAGAGTTCTTTTTAGAATATTCTACGATAGTTATTAGGTGAGCTGAGCGAAGCTGACAAGTAATAAATTGGATTCATATTTTTACCTGTAATTTCTTTCAAAATAGTACTTGCAAATAGGAAGGTGAAGATTTATCATTTTAACTAGACAACAAAATTTTTACAGGGCTATATATAGGTGTAACTTCTATCACTAGTCAAACCCTATTTATATTAGAAAACACATTAGAAATTATTTATATCTAAATCGAGATATATAAAATTTATTTATCAAAGTTCAGCAATCAGTTTAGTATCTTTTATGTGGTTCTTAGAAATCAATATCAACAAGTATCCTATTTCTCAATCAGAACAAAGAAACTAGTAGTCAAATGTTTCTCTTTAAATACCGAACATGATAACAAATTAACTGTCACGACCCTAATGTTTCACGTCCCTAAATTGGGGTGACCTCGAGGTCCGGAAATTGGGGTCATGACATTAAAAATCATCTAACTATTTAATGAGATCCAACGGATTTTTATCCCAACAATCTCCACAAAACTTTACAATTGAACTTCTTTCCTGTGGGAGTTGAGCTGATTGTGAGCCAATTGCTGGATTGACCATAACTTCCTATATCTGTAGCCTACTGTATCACGGTCGCTAACTTGGACTGCAACTGTGGAGTTATTATTAAAAGTAATCCAGTCATGATTGTCTTAGTTATCTCATCTCAATGGTCAAAATGTAGATATTAGTTGAAATATTGGCTACTCTCGACTTTTGTTAGTCAATAACCATACCTTATTAAGAGATGGTGATTGGTGAGGTAACACGTGTAATGGTCAAAGGTGAATGAGATGGGCCTTCATGCTTCCCATGGCAATCATGGTAGATGCACATTATTATAATTCCTCATTTCCTCCTAAGAGAACATTGGTCTTTTTACATGGCTGATCGTATATTTGCCCTTGTTCATTTTAATTTGTTTACATGGGGATTTTCCGATCC